AAATTGTAAACGCTATTACAAATGTGTGGCAAATTAGGTTGAATTACCAATTACGGTATCTGCATTTGTTGAGTCAGTGACACTTGTGGGAAGTAATTGACTAATTGCAGCAAATGGGTTTTACACTTAGCAGAAAGCCCTCAAAAGCCTAATCAGCAACATGGATCCTGCAGACAGAGCTACACACCTGACACATATTAGTTTAATCCCACCTTAATTAATGGTACCAAAAACCTGGCACAAATGGGGTTATAATATACACTTCTATGAGGAATATTAAACATTTAAATTCAGCTGGCAGCCAAACAGCTAGTGAATAAGCCACTGATAGTGAAGCATGAATGAGGCATTTGATATATAGGTTTTGTCTATAAAACAATAAATACAAACATACTTGGAGTGTATTGACTTACAGTCTTTTGCACGTTGTGTAGAAGAGCTTGTCGAATGTAAATAGACTGCATTTATAGCGCTTTTCTAATCAAGTCGACATTCTTCAATAGAGTGGTGCAGTGATGGCGTATTTTTGTAGACAGACCCTGAAGTAGGGGCGGACTGGGACTAAAAATCGGCCCGGGACTCTCGACCGGCCCACTTTGGTACCGCTAGTACATTTTCGACGGGGGGGTGCTAGTGACTTATCCGACCGGCCCACCACAGTACCGCTAGTAAATACCGCTAGTAAATACCGCTAGTAAATAGACAACGGGGGGTGCTAGTGACTTATCCAACCGGCCCACCACAGTACCGCTAGTAAATACCGCTAGTAAATACCGCTAGTACATTTTCGACGGGGGGTGCTAGTGACTTATCCAACTAGCCCACATTGTCAGACCGGCCCATCGGGATTCGTCCCGAACGTCCCGATGGCCAGTCCGCCACTGCCCTGAAGTAAGCAACACCCCCGGTTCTCTCGACAAAAAGCAAATAGGATTTGACCATTGGATTATTGCAGAAAATAATCTCTGTGGTAAATAAATGTTTATTATACTTACATGTTTTGTTCAGCAGGATAATCTCCACATATTAACACCACTGTTAGTAGTAAAAATCTAATGTTGGGCTATAAAGAAATTACAGCACGGTCACATGACTTCACGTCACCACCGCTAAGCTAAAGGAGGCTAATGTTGGGCTATAAAGGAACTACAGCACGGTCACATGACTTCACGTCACCACCGCTAAGCTAAAGGCGGCTAATGTTGGGCTATAAAG